TCGTGGACGCCTTTACTTTCGCTGACTTCCATGGGGTCTTTACGGAGTAGCCGGAGAAATAAAACAAGTGCATTGAAGTCAGAGGATCCTACTTTGAAAGATTTGTACTTCTTTGAAATTAATCTGAAAAAGTCTAAAATATCTGAAATTCAACTAGTCTCTCTCTCTCCCCCTCTCTCTCTCTTTCTCTATGTATATATATATATATATATATAGATAGATAGATAGATAGATAGATAGATAGATAGATAGATAATATTAGTGGTAAATATACACATACATATGCAAAATATATAAATATATATACATACATGCATACACATAAATGTATATTTTTTGGATAAAAAAATTCCAAGAGGATAGATGTATATATATATATATATATATATATATATATATATATATAGTAATTCATGGAGTCTAGAAGAATCCTCTCTGAATGCAGAAAGCACTAGACGGCCGTTTCGTCTTGTTTGGGACTCATCAGCAGTGCGCATCCACTACCGAGAATCGAACCCGGACCGTTCAGGATGCGTTGTATGCGTTCTCGGTAGTGGATGCGCGCTACTGATGCGTCCCAAACAGGATGGAACGTCTGTCCAGTGCTTTCTGCATTCTGTTGAGGATTTTTCTAGATTCTTCCATGAATTACTATATATGATTACTCTAAATCCCTGCACAAATTTCTATAATATAATATATATATATATATATATATATATATATATATATATATATATATATATATATGGTGGGGATATTTTTTGGTTGGAATTTACAATTATACATTCTCGGTCAGCTGCACCTTAAATACGATAAAAAAAAATAATTCATTGACAATTTGCGGTTCTGGAATCAAATGAGAGTGACAGCGAATTTTTAAATCAGGTATTTAATCGATACTAGTGGCTCAGATATCGATTACTGTTTAACGAGTGATAATTGGTTAACAGAAAGCGCGTATCGAATCCTAAATTACTCTTGCCTGAGGGAACGACAAGCAATATTTCAATTGATAAGAAACCGCGCCAGACACATTGAAAATCGACAACCGTGTATTTCATTTGTGCATCAGAAAGACATAAAGAGAAACCCAAGTGAAAATAAAGTCATTACTTCTTGAAAGCGACAGAGAAAAAGACCAAAATAAAGTCATATTTATCGATTCTGATATTTTATACATGCATTAATTATTCTTTGATATTTATTGGGTTACTATCGCTATCTTCATTGGATTCAATCACAACATTTCGATCGGTGGGTTTTCCGGCCTTCCTCAATATCTTTCGTTATGGATTTAAGACTTATTATATTTATAAAAACAATTCAAATATTTTCCATTAATAGAAGTATTCCTATTATTACCCTATTGTAATTGTACTTGTCCCGCCCTTTGTTCGTTTACACGACTGTTACGCCTTGCCAATACCTCCTAAATAATGGACTATTCCATTTTCATCATATGGAAACAGACACTACGTGGTTTGAGGGAGAAAATGAAAGAAAGAAATGAAGATAGAAGAGGAGAGAGAGAGAGAGATTTAGGTTAAGTTTATAAGAACAGATACTACACTTGGATCTAAGCCAAAAGGCCGAGGAGCGAGTCAACCGCGATAAAGTTTCAGACGCATATTATGGTGATTTTCTTTCGTATTTTAATGCTTATCAGACGATATGAATAGAATTTACACAAAATAGACAAAACTTGTCTATATTATTTAATGAAACATGCATCAATATATATATATATATATATATATATATATATATATAAAAATTAAAAGAAAGAACAGTCAGATTTATAATCCAGTGTCCTTTAGCATTTATTTTTAAAAACAGTGCTCGATACACAGAGCATAATATTATAATTATTTTTTTAAAAATATGTGTTTTGGTTTCGAAACATGGTATTTTCTGTGTCGCGATAAACACATCTTAAATTACACTTAAAATTTGAAGTTCAGTTCCATTTTCAAGCGATGATGGATAACTTTCGAAAAAATTCAATTTAAAACGTGTTTTAAGAAAAAATAAAATGTCAATTGCTAGCAGTTTTTTTTATTATTATTAATTTTTGTTTCATATTTAAAATTATATTTTAATGTAATGTAAAATTTTAAATTGTTTTCTTTGTAGAAGTAGATCTTTCTTTCAAATGTACTATAGGGATCGTTGTATTTTCTCGTCTATTTCACTCAGTATTGGCCCAAATTTTGGATAAAATTGATTGTTGGTCTTATAATTGTATTTATTTTCCTAGAATAAAATTCTAATTTACTTTTTAAGAAGTTGAGAATCTAACTTTTTTTAATTCGATGTATTAATCATTGGAGGCCATTGCTTTTTGTCGCGTTTTTTTTTTTTCTTGGAACAAAAATATCATTATTATTTTAAAATTTTACTACACGCAAAAGTGAACATTTTGACACGAAAAATAAATTTTAAGAATTCTTTTTACACAAAAAAATCAAATTTTAACGTATTTAAAAGCAAAAATGAAGAGATTAAAACATACAAGTCGAAAATTTAAGAATAACAAAATGTCGCCAATTTCTTTTCGATGATAGGTAAAAAATTGGCATGAAAGTTCAATGTTATATATGGTAAAAATAAATTAGAATTTTTTGCCAGGACAAAAATACTATTTCACACCAAGAATCGATTATATCCAACTTTTGGGCGAATACCGAGCGAAATGGGCGAATAAATCCAACGGTCCTTACAACTGAACCTCTATTACTAAATTTATATTTACGAGAGAAGAAACTTGGCGTAGAACGGGCGGTTTCATTTAACTGTCTCGACAGTAAAAGGATGGGACCGAGATGACAACTTAGTAGCATTCTTAAATTCATGCAGTCGAGACACCGGTGAAAATTGCTCGTCAGAGCAGATGCCATGAAAATATTTATAGAAAAGACAAAGAGAGGCCAGGTGAGGAAGTAACTGGAGTCGAGACCCCAAATCAGGACCGATCATATTGCATATCGGTCTTTGGAATTCTCAAGAACCTCGAAATGAACGGTGGGGGCACCAACCATATATGACATCAGTATTCCATGCCTGGACAATAGATAGTGCGGTCATCTGTGGCATTTGCACCAGATTTTGCAGTGTGGAATCGTTCCTCTTTGATAAGTCTCCTGATATACTAGCTCTCTGCGAGACGAACCTTAACTCGTCAGTCCCTTCCTCTGATTTCTCAATTCTACAGAAAGTTGAAACTGTAAATGTTAACACAAGGCTAATTGAGTACTGTCCCTCTCTCACCACGTTTGGCCGTAGGGAAGGTTGCATTGTCACTCCTTGCCTAAACTCTCGTCTGTCACGTGAGAAATTTATGTATATATTTTATTTTCTCTTTGTCACTCTCTCTTTTCCTCGTTACTAACGTTTCCTTCCTTTTTTTTATTATTTTTTTAATTGAATTTATTTTACCTTCTTTTTTCTCTTTGTCACTCTCTCTTTTCCTCGTTACTAACATTTCCTTCCTTTTTTATTATTTTTTTAATTCAATTTATTTTACCTTCTTTTTTCTCTTTGTCACTCTCTCTTTTCCTCGTTACTAACATTTCCTTCCTTTTTTATTATTTTTTTAATTGAATTTATTTTACTTTCTTTTTTCTCTTTGTCTCTCTCTTTTTCCTCCTTACTAACATTTCCTTCCTTTTTTATTATTTTTTTAATTGAATTTATTTTACCTTCTTTTTTATCTTTGTCACTCTCTCTTTTCCTCGTTACTAACATTTCCTTCCTTTTTTATTATTTTTTTAATTGAATTTTTTTTACCTTTTTTTTTCTCTTTGTCACTTTCTCTTTTCCTCGTTCCTAACATTTCCTTCCATTTTTATTATTTTTTTAATTCAATTTATTTTACCTTCTTTTTTCTCTTTGTCACTCTCTCTTTTCCTCGTTACTAACATTTCCTTCCTTTTTTATTATTTTTTTAATTCAATTTATTTTACCTTCTTTTTTCTCTTTGTCACTCTCTCTTTTCCTCGTTACTAACATTTCCTTCCTTTTTTTATTATTTTTTAATTGAATTTATTTTACTTTCTTTTTTCTCTTTGTCACTCTCTTTTCCTCGTTACTAACATTTTCTTCCTTTTTATTATTTTTTAATTCAATTTATTTTACCTTCTTTTTTTCTCTTTGTCTCTCTCTTTTCCTCGTTACTAACATTTCCTTCCTTTTTATTATTTTTTTAATTGAATTTATTTTACTTTTCTTTTTTTCTCTTTGTCACTCTCTCTTTCCTCGTTACTAACGTTTCCTTCCTTTTTTTTTATTATTTTTTAATTGAATTTATTTTACCTTTCTTTTTTCTCTTTGTCACTCTCTCTTTTCCTCCTTACTAACATTTCCTTCCTTTTTTATTATTTTTTTAATTGAATTTATTTTACCTTCTTTTTTTCTTTGTCACTCTCTCTTTTCCTCGTTACTAACATTTCCTTCCTTTTTTATTATTTTTTAATTGAATTTTTTACCTTTTTTTTCTCTTTGTCCTCTCTCTTTTCCTCGTTCCTAACATTTCCTTCCATTTTTATTATTTTTTAATTCAATTTATTTTACCTTCTTTTCTCTTTGTCACTCTCTCTTTTCCTCGTTACTAACATTTCCTTCCTTTTTTATTATTTTTTAATTCAATTTATTTTACCTTCTTTTTTCTCTTTGTCACTCTCTCTTTTCCTCGTTACTAACATTTCCTTCCTTTTTTATTATTTTTTAATTGAATTTATTTTACTTTCTTTTTTTCTCTTTGTCTCTCTCTTTTCCTCGTTACTAACATTTTCTTCCTTTTTTATTTTTTTTAATTCAATTTATTTTACCTTCTTTTTCTCTTTGTCACTCTCTCTTTTCCTCGTTACTAACATTTTTTTTTTATTATTTTTTAATTGAATTTATTTTACTTTCTTTTTTTCTTTGTTACTCTCTTTTCCTCGTTACTAACGTTTTTTTTTTTTTTTTTTTAATTGAATTTATTTTACTTTTTTTTTCTCTTTGTCACTCTCTCTTTTCCTCGTTACTAACATTTCCTTCCTTTTTTTATTATTTTTTAATTCAATTTATTTTACCTTCTTTTTTTCTCTTTGTCACTCTCTCTTTTCCTCGTTACTAACATTTCCTTCCTTTTATTATTTTTTTAATTGAATTTATTTTACCTTCTTTTTCTCTTTGTCACTCTCTCTTTTCCTCCTTACTAACATTTTCCTTTTTTATTATTTTTTAATTGAATTTATTTTACCTTCTTTTTTATCTTTGTCACTCTCTCTTTTCCTCGTTACTAACATTTCCTTCCTTTTTTATTATTTTTTAATTGAATTTTTTTTACCTTTTTTTTTTTCTCTTTGTCACTCTCTCTTTCCTCGTTCCTAACATTTCCTTCCTTTTTTATTATTTTTTAATTCAATTTATTTTACCTTTTTTTTTCTCTTTGTCCTCTCTCTTTTTCCTCGTTACTAACATTTCCTTCCTTTTTTATTATTTTTTTAATTCAATTTATTTTTACCTTTTTTTTTTCTCTTTGTGTCTCTCTTTTCCTCGTTACTAACATTTCCTTCCTTTTTTATTATTTTTTAATTCAATTTATTTTACCTTTTTTTCTCTTTGTCACTCTCTCTTTTCCTCGTTACTAACATTTCCTTCCTTTTTATTATTTTTTAATTGAATTTATTTTACTTTCTTTTTTCTCTTTGTCACTCTCTTTTCGTTACTAACATTTCCTTCTTTTTTTTATTATTTTTTAATTCAATTTATTTTACCTCTTTTTTCTCTTTGTCACTCTCTCTTTCCCTCGTTACTAACATTTCCTTCCTTTTTTATTATTTTTTTTAATGGATTTATTTTACTTTCTTTTTTCTCTTTGTCACTCTCTCTTTTCCTCGTTACTAACATTTCCTTCCTTTTTTATTATTTTTTAATTCAATTTATTTTTACCTTCTTTTTCTCTTTGTCACTCTCTCTTTTCCTCGTTACTAACATTTCCTTCCTTTTTTATTTTTTTAATTGAATTTATTTTACCTTTTTTTTTTCTCTTTGTCACTCTCTCTTTTCCTCGTTACTAACATTTCCTTCCTTTTTTTATTATTTTTTAATTCAATTTATTTTACCTTTTTTTTTTTGTCTTTGTCACTCTCTCTTTTCCTCGTTACTAACATTTCCTTCCGTTTTTATTATTTTTTAATTGAATTCATTTTACCTTTTTTTTCTCTTTGTCACTCTCTCTTTCCTCGTTACTAACATTTCCTTCCTTTTTTATTATTTTTTAATTGAATTTATTTTACCTTCTTTTTTTCTCTTTGTCACTCTCTTTTCCTCGTTACTAACATTTCCTTCCTTTTTATTATTTTTTAATTCAATTTATTTTACCTTCTTTTTCTCTTTGTCACTCTCTTTTCCTCGTTACTAACATTTCCTTCCTTTTTTATTATTTTAATTCAATTTATTTTACCTTCTTTTTTCTCTTTGTCACTCTCTCTTTTCCTCGTTACTAACATTTCCTTCCTTTTTTATTATTTTTTTAATTCAATTTATTTTACCTTCTTTTTTCTCTTTGTCACTCTCTCTTTTCCTCGTTACTAACATTTCCTTCCTTTTTTATTATTTTTTTAATTCAATTTATTTTACCTTTTTTTTTTGTCTTTGTCACTCTCTCTTTTCCTCGTTACTAACATTTCCTTCCTTTTTTATTATTTTTTTAATTCAATTTATTTTACCTTCTTTTTTCTCTTTGTCACTCTCTCTTTTCCTCGTTACTAACATTTCCTTCCTTTTTTATTATTTTTTTAATTGAATTTATTTTACCTTTTTTTTTCTCTTTGTCACTCTCTCTTTCCTCGTTACTAACATTTCCTTCCTTTTTTATTATTTTTTAATTCAATTTATTTTACCTTCTTTTTTCTCTTTTGTCACTCTCTTTTCCTCGTTACTAACATTTCCTTCCTTTTTTATTATTTTTTTAATGGATTTATTTTTTTCTCTTTTTCTCTTTGTTCTCTCTTTTCCTCGTTACTAACATTTTCCTTCCTTTTTATTATTTTTTAATTCAATTTATTTTACCTTCTTTTTCTCTTTTGTCACTCTTATTATTTCCTTTTTTTTTATTATTTTTTAATTGAATTTATTTTACCTTTTTCTCTTTGTCACTCTCTCTTTTCCTCGTTACTAACATTTCCTTCCTTTTTTTATTATTTTTTAATTCAATTTATTTTACCTTTTTTTTCTTTTGTCCTCTCTCTTTTCCTCGTTACTAACATTTCCTTCCGTTTTTATTATTTTTTAATTGAATTTATTTTACCTTTTTTTTCTCTTTGTCACTCTCTCTTTTCCTCGTTACTAACATTTCCTTCCTTTTTATTATTTTTTAATTGAATTTATTTTACCTTCTTTTTTTTTCTCTTTGTCACTCTCTCTTTTCCTCGTTACTAACATTTCCTTCCTTTTTTATTATTTTTTAATTCAATTTATTTTACCTTTTTTTTTTTCTCTTTGTCACTCTCTTTTCCTCGTTACTAACATTTTTCTTTTTTATTATTTTTTTATTTATTTTACCTTCTTTTTCTTTGTTTTGTCTCTCTTTTTCCTAATTCAATTTTTATTTTTTATTATTTTTTTAATTCAATTTTTTTTACCTTCTTTTTTCTCTTTGTCACTCTCTCTTTCCTCGTTACTAACATTTCCTTCCTTTTTTTATTTTTTAATTCAATTTATTTTACCTTTTTTTTTTGTCTTTTGTCCTCTCTTTTCCTCGTTACTAACATTTCCTTCCTTTTTTATTATTTTTTTAATTCAATTTATTTTACCTTCTTTTTTCTCTTTGTCACTCTCTCTTTTCCTCGTTACTAACATTTCCTTCCTTTTTTATTATTTTTTTAATTGAATTTATTTTACCTTTTTTTTTGTCTTTGTCACTCTCTCTTTTCCTCGTTACTAACATTTCCTTCCTTTTTTATTATTTTTTTAATTGAATTTATTTTACCTTCTTTTTTCTCTTTGTCACTCTCTCTTTTCCTCCTTACTAACATTTCCTTCCTTTTTTATTATTTTTTTAATTGAATTTATTTTACCTTCTTTTTTCTCTTTGTCACTCTCTCTTTTCCTCGTTACTAACGTTTCCTTCCTTTTTTATTATTTTTTTAATTCAATTTATTTTACCTTCTTTTTTCCCTCTTTGAAAATTTTGAATATTATGTCTTTGGTGATTTTCGGGTTCATGGTGGGGGTAATGGATAGCGACTCGGATTGAGGAATCGGAAAGCCGAATTCGAATTCCAGTCGGATCCATTACATTCACTTACGTGCTAATACCCTTGGGAATGGTATGAATCGTTTTCTTCTCCCCCAAGTTATTGGTAAATAGCAGGACAGACCGGATTTTATAGACTTGGATGGCAACTGGTCTACCGCATTTTATTTAAAAATTCCTGATTGTAATAAACCATTGTAAACAATGGATCTGTCTAAAAGAAATTAAAGTATACTGTTAGGATTTTGTTAGAGGATGGGTAGGGGGCGCCAGTCACAATCCTCACTCCGGGCTCTACCAGACTTCGGGGTTCCTTCCGAGAGA